ATATTAAAAACTACATTGCCAATAAATATATAAAATATATTATATAGAATTGTATTTATTAAAAGTCTAACATGCTCTTATCATAGATAGAAGTTTAAATTTCTGAACTAAAAAAAAGATAAATTTATATTAGATTGAAAATATTGTGTATATAGATAGATAAATAAAAGATTTAGATTCATAAAACCAATTTTAAGTTTCTGCCACACAAATATTTGTTTGATCTTCGTCTCTTTATGGTTTTACAGAAAAAAACCCTCGTTGTTCAATCATGCCTGGCGAAGAGGAAAAAAATGTTGCCGAGCTTAAAATTGGAGAAGGTAATCCGTCATTTCGTTTTCTCTCGATACATAACCGAGTAAAATCACTAAACCCACAAGCTAATTGTTTTTCTCTTTTGAAGGACAGGATTTTTGAAGGCCAAGTGTTTGATGAATTGTGAAGTAACTTTAATTCTTGAGCACAAGTACGAGCAGCTTCAGCAAATGTCTGATGACCCCATGAATCAAGTTTCCTACTGAGTTCCATAAGCAACCTCAATTTTCAATTGGGTCATCTTTTTCTTACCCTCTTGTTGATTTTATCCATGTATTTGGCTTATTGTGGTGTTTATAGAAAATTGCATGCCTTTACTGTAATTTTTGGTCTCACATTTGATATGTTGAATTATTGTCTTTTGTCTTTGTTTCACAAAATATTTGAGAAGTCATTGCAGTATGTAAAGCTAAAAATTATCATATTTTTCAACCAGACATTTTCACCATAAAATCTGAAAAATTCAACTTCTCTTATTGGGTCAAAACATTTTATTAAATGATTTTTGTAAGTCTAAGAATTAAGTGATATATGGCAATAAGCTTGCAATAACATTGATATTTCGATATTAAACTTTAATAATCAAAGAATGATGTACCAAAAACTTCATACACAATTTCAAAGTTTAGGTTGAACTGATCAATCATACTTCTTATTACAGAACTACATAAATCTTTTGGAGTTTATATATTTAATTCAATCACAATGATCCATATCAATTTATCAAAAAAATTGAGATTAGAGCGTGAGGTAAATTATATTCGAATTTTAGCCAAAAAAGCTTCCATTTTCTGAATTCAAAGATGACATTTCGAGTTTTCAAAGCTACAAAACATAGGGTTTCAGTTTACAAAGAAATTTATAAGACAAAAATTCGAAATATGATGGGATGATTCATTCAAAATTCTTTACAAATCTACTCTTCTAAGTTGATCCTCACTCAAACCAATGAATTGCTATAGCGTCAGATGTATTACAATAGCATGTATGAGCTTAAGTGTTATTTGAAAAGAATACATAAGTGGCAGAGAAATTAAAATGACATCTCCAGCTCTATAGAGGTCAAAAGCATACCTCACAATTAATTTTGAATATCAAGCTCTATCTCCACAAAATTATATAAAAAAAATTGAATTTAATAAACATATTTATATTTTAATATTTAATAAACCTATTCATAATTTGAAACTACATATATGTAAATGCTAATTAGTGTTAACCGACCACATAACCAAGTTAATTAAGCAAGATTTCATATTTAAATACTTCGGTTTCAATATCAGAGTCTCACGATAAGTGAGTAAAAAGGTACCTCTCCATTATATCAATTTCTTTTGAAATATTGGAAATATTGTCCAATATTTTTTATTTTGTATCTTTTTCTTGATGAACTTTTGAATAGTATCTCATTCTTATGGAGTTAGATTCATCCTCAAACAATTCAAGCTTACATCTATTTCTGCCGATCTTGATTTGATGGTGAGTCAGAACCGTGAACATCCTATCTAAAACCTTCTTTTATTTCAAATAATGTATATTTTTCAAGATTGACAAAGCACTATTCAAAAATTGCATGAGCTTTCTAATCAATGTCCTTTCATCATTAGTTCTCTCTAATGGTAGCCAATAAGGAATATTCAATTCTTTGAAGACCTTTGGCGTGGTATGCTTTATGATAACACCTTCAAACGTTGTCATCATGGGAGGTAAAACAACACTCTTATACCAACTTTAATATCCTCTGATCCAAATCAATATTTTTAATATCTAACTCAAAGGATTTCAATATTTTAACAAAGATAACAATATAATGAGCGATGACTTCCATTTCTTTCCAAAAGGTTTTTGGATCAGGGTGTTGAGAAGAAAAATATGGAGCACAAACATAGTTTTAGAAGGAAGTATTGAGAGTGAAAATAGGGTTTTTGAGATTCTTGAAAAAAAAGGATGTGAGGTAGAATAGAGAATATGGTAAAGAGAACGAATGTTATTCAATAATTTGTTTATCGGACGGATAAATATGATTAAAGGTAAATGATATTATTGATCATTAAATTATTTTATTTTTATTTTGGTCCTCAAATATTTATTGTGCCGATGTTTATTATGTTATCATTTTTTATTCAAGCATTTTTTGATAAGAATAATTTTTTATTTCAGAGTTTTCGAAATTTGAAATTTATTATCAAATTGGGTAAAGATATTATATTACCCCAAATAGCTCTGTTATTAATAATTCTACAATAATTCTATAACAACTCTACAATAATTCTACAACAATTGTATAACAATTCTATAATAATTCTTCTTTTTGAAACACATATAAATATTGTGCAAACTTTTTACGTTAAACAAAATTCTACAACTCAAACAATTTGAAAGAAACTTTTTTCCATCATCTAATTTTTGGTAATCGACGCATGCAATAATATAATTTATTATATCTCCAACAATTGTAATATTTTTTTTTCTAACAAAACTACTGGTTCACAACAATCTCTACTTGAAGTTTTGAAATCCTCGACCTTTCCCTCTTTAAAAAAATTTAATATTATTCTCCCAAAAACCATAACTTTTCCTACACCATCCCCTCCAAGCCGCCCTCTTTTTTTTCTCTCTGTCGTTTTCTGTCGCCACCTCAACCGCAACATTCCTCTTTCATCTCCCTAATTTTTATCTCGTTCTTTTTTTTATCTTTTTCATGTTCACACTATGACCCCTTTTTTGTTTATTCCCTCCCAAATGCTTTATTTCCTTCTCAATTGGTTTAGGGACGTAACCGTTTTTTTGGGCAAATAATTCAAGCCGGACAAAATTTGAAGAAATGTAGATGTTGAAAAATTAATTTGGAATGTAGGTCATTTGTTATAGTGTTTTTAAAACTCGTCATGTGAAAAATATCGAATTCTATAAAATATAATAAATAATTGGAACTCGTCACGAGGACATGAGTTTCATACAATTTTAGTCTAGATCACATGACAAGTTATTTTTTTTAATAAATTTTACATGTGAGCATGACGATTTCTACATGTACTATAGCTAATGACTTAAATCCTAAAACGAATTTGCAACACCTGCATTTTTAAATTTTTGTTCGTTGCTCACAATATTTCAAAATTTCATTAGATTCATAACCAACATTTAATAAATAATATTTGTTTTGTCCGTTGAATATAATTTTCCATATTCGAGCTTCTGTATGAGATAAGAAATATTATAAATTATCAAATAACTTTGTGTGAAGCATTGACAAAAGATCTTGCAGAACTGGGGTCAATCATTGTCAGTTGCAAGCTCCTCAAGGATTGTTTTTTCCTAGTCTTGTTTTGTTTCTTTTACGAAGAGAGAAGGCAACAAAGTTGCACATGAGATTGCTAAGTATAGTTTAAGCTATTTGTAATGGAATTTACATTATCCAAGCTGCATCCCAACATTGTTATGGATGAAGTTATTTAAATAAATAATTCTGAATAACTCATACCAATTGATTAAAAGTATTGCAACTTGTTTAATGCTACGTTTAGGCATAACAATTTTTTAACAACTTAAACACAATATTAAACAAACCCAATCCAAAGCCGACGGTCGGCGGCTGTCGCAATTGTTCATTGGATTTTAAACTTTAGAAGTTGGAATAATCTTTGGAGACCATCTCAATACTCAGCAGCTTAGACAAAAGTAAGCCCAAATCAGCCGCCTAAAAAGCTTGTTATCCTCTTTTGATTGCAACAAAGAATTTTAAATATTTTTTTCTTAGCTTTGATTTTGATTAAATACTCGCCAGTTTCCTTAGATTTCTTCCTCTTCACATTTCCCCTCAAAACTTTGAAGTTTCTTATAAATCCAACAATTTTATACGCAACATAGAAACAATTACTAAAAGAAGACATATAATGACATTACGTCACACATTCATGAATATTAAAAAATAATGTAATATGAATATCCTCATTAACTTAAGTAGAAGAAAAAGAGTGCACCGTTTCAATGTCAATATAATATAGGACATACACGAAAACAACATTACCAATAATGAGACATGTTTCATTATTCTTGTTTTGTATGTATGTCATCAATAAAATCATACAAAACTTTCTTTTAAAAAAATAATAATATGAACATCAGTACTCCAAATTTCAATAAATATAAAAAGGTTGATATGAATATGAATACATCAAATTTAGTTTCATGTGATTTAGAAAAATAAAATGTCGATTTAAATCAGAAAATATAAGTGTCAATTTTTTTTTGTTTATAAATAAATTATATAATTTATAAAACTCTAAAAAAATACTAATTTGAGTTTGACTCAAAATAAACACACACTATAATAGCTTTTAATTAGATTCGATCCCCCTAAATTTCCTGGAATTGGCCTTTCTTGTTCAGAATTGTCTGTTTTCAAACCTTGTTGTTATGTATTATTAGAAAATGTTTATTTTTAGTGCCATTTCTCATTGATTTTCTTTCAGGAATAAAAACTCCCGTTTCATTCCCTCTATCTATTACATAATTCTCTGCATTTTCAGTCCTATCAAGGTATATCAATGTCCTTTTTTGTTTTGATTTTTTTATTTCTTTTTGTCTGAATTATTACAATATCCTGAATTTCGCGTTCTTGTTTTTTCTCCCTGTTATAATTATGGATCCATTATAATTATCCAACATTTTATTCAGAGACGAACAGCAGGAATGAAGGAGCAATCGCCTGCTGCAATGGCGTCAACGAAGGACTCTTTAGCTGTGGCAATTGACGAATTGAAGAACAAGGAAAATGACGTTGAATCCTTGAAAATTGAGCTCGAAAAGACCAAAGAATTGGAGGCGAAATTGTCGGAGCAAGAAGCTTCGTTTCATAAGCTGAAAGATGAATTGAACAAGATGAAATCCTTCAAGTCCGACACAGTTGATCTGTTGTACGATGCATTCATGGCTCAATCGAAAGAGTTCGAGCAAGCCAAGATTCAACTCGAAGAATCCAAGAATCAAATCAAGCCTCTACTGGAAATCCTGCAGAATTGGGGCAGTCCGTCATCATCGATGGCGGATGACCCATTGACAAGACTCGAATCCGAGCTTCGAATCACCAAGGAGAAACTATCTCGTGCCGAAGAGAATGAGCAATCTTCTTCGTTGAAAGCCAAGAATCTATCTGAGGAAGTCAGACATCTAAAAGATGAACTGCAATCCATTACCGATGCCGAAGAAAACAACAAGAAAGCCATGGATGATTTAGCCTTGGCATTGAAAGAAGTGATAACAGAAGCAAACGAAGCCAAGAACAAACTCTCCTCGACACAAATCGAGCTCCAAAAAACGAAAGGATACTTTGAAAATCTCAAGGCGAAGCTGAGAATGCTGGAAGGAAAGTACAATGAAGCAAAGAAAGAAGCGGATCGATATAAAAACACATCAGAAAGATTGAGAATCGAAGTCGAAGAATCCGTTCTGGCATGGAACACAAGAGAGATCGGATTCGTCGAATGCATTCGAAAAGCCGAAGATGAACGAAACGCAGCGAAAGAAGAATGCCAATCACTGCTCGAATCGCTTCAAGAGGCTGAAAACATGAACAAGAAGGCCAAGGAAGAGAATCAGAAGCTTCGGGACATCATGAAACAGGCAATAAACGAAGCTAACGTAGCCAAAGAAGCTGCTAACATAGCTCGAGCGGAGAATTCGCAGCTCAAGGACGCCATTGCCAAAAAGGACGAAGCTTTGGATTTCCTTTCACAAGAGAATGAGACCCTTAAGATTAATGAAGCGGCTGCTTGTGAAACTATTAAGGAGTTGAAGAATATGTTTTGCGAATTAGGCAACAAAGGAGTTTGAAATGTCCGATTAGCATAAAGCACCACGTTTTTGATTTTAAAAGTTCCCATAGAAAGAAAAAAAAAGGGGTTAAAGAAGATGAAAGTGACGAAGAAGATTCAATGTTAGCTGAAATTTCATACACTGTAGCAGTAGGAATCCATCCAGATTTAAATGATACAAAAATATTCTTTTTGTTGTTTTAGGTAAAATGACGAACTGAATTGTAATTTTTACCCCTTTTTTTTATCAAATTAACCCTTATTCTTTAATTAAATTTATCCCTTAACACTAAAAAAATTCTAATGAAAAATATTGTCTAAAACATTAAATTTGAAAAGGTTTTAAAGTGAAGTTCACATGTCCTTCAGGTTAATATTATAATATTTATCTTATGTATCACATCAATTAAAAAAATTAGCTGACTTTTATTCCCATATGTAATAGGGTAAGGGGAGGTAGGATAGTAGGTTGCCCCCAACGCCAGGTTGAGAGGAGCTTCCGTGGGAGACCTCTGAATTATGAATTGTCCACCGTGAGACTCGATCCCACGACCAAAAGATTAAAATCAAACAAATTACATAAAGTATAAATGGATTGTCAATTGCGTTAATAATTTAATTAATCAGTATTTCTATTCAAGAAAAAACTATTTAACTCTCTTTTTTTTTAAAAAAAGTTGAGTATTAAAACTTTTTTTTAATTTAGGATCAAATTTAGATAAAAAATAATAACTAAAATGATAAAAAAAATTGGGTATGTATCAATTATCTTTGCATCTAACTTTGATGTCACTGGTAAATATCAGTTAAACTATTTGATAACTTTCAAATATTTAGTGATTAAAAGGATCATTTGTCATAGTTTAGGGAGCTCTGCTGTGTTTCACCCATAAATGTTTGGCGTGTACAAATACATTTGAACCAAAATAAAAGTTTTATGCGCATATATACACTAAATCAAAATTCATGTATCACATTTTAAATTTCACCAAATAAGTAGTTTCGTATATTTTTTCACGTGCTTAATTTTTAGTTTTAAAAAGTAATAATTAAACTAATTCTAGAAATCATAATCACTTAAAAAAAAAGTCATAATCACTAAAAATGTCAATAGTAACTTAAAATATATATATGTAGAGGGTCGTTGTAGTATAGTGGTGAGTATACCCGCCTGTCACGCGGGTGACCCGGGTTCGATCCCCGGCAACGGCGTTTTGACCTTTTCCCCTCCTTTCTAATATTCTAATAATACGTCGTCGTTGGAGCAAATACAAGAGCTTTATAAAATTTGAAGACGACAAACCTCAAAGCTGAGAAACTAACTAGAGAAAGAAAAAAACGAAATGGAGGCACTGAGGAAGCTTGAACAACTCCAAAGAACTCTTACTTTCATGGAATCTCGAAACTTTGTTTCCTCTTCAACTCCCGATTCGAATCGCTTCATCGCCAATCTCATCCTTCTCTTAGTAGTCCCTTTCTTTCCTTTTTTTTTGTTCCTTTTTCTCACATTTTAACTTAATTTGTCTGATTACTAAATGAATCGGTTTTCCAGTTACAACCATGCGGCGAACTCAATTTCGACACCAAGTGCCATTTAATTTCTGAATGTTTACCAAAAGTAAGCTTTCCCATTCCCAATTGATGGTTAATTTCTCCTTTTTTATGCTTATTGTTTTCAAAAACTGCAGATTTCGGTTAGCTTTCTGGAAGAAGCATCAGAATGGGTTAGTTTGGAAACTGATGAAAGAGGTCCACATGTTTTTTATTTTCATTTTTTTTAATTTTGGTTGGTTTCCTGCTCTTTATGTTCTGGTTCCCTTTTTAAAAATTTTATTTTGCAGATTACCAAGAAATCGATATCCCGCCCGATAAGAAAGATTGCTTCTCACTGCAGATAAACCATGATGAGGTAGCAATGGTGGGACTGGAAGCTATGGAACGGGCAAATTCTACACTTGAGGATTTTGTAAGCACTCAAAAAAAAAAACAAAATTTGTCTTTAAGTCATACAGTTTTAAATCAATATTTGCACCTTTATCATATGAGCAAATGTAATCGTATGCTTTAATAATTTTACTGATGAATGAACGAACGAACGAATATGTGTGGTATAAAGAATTGTGGGGGTGGGGGATTTTGACTATGCTTGTGACAAAAGTGTTCTATTTGATGATCCCAATCAATGTTGTTATGATTGTGTTTGCAGTGCAGGTCTTATTTTATGTTTCATGGAATGGACATAAACAGCCCAAACATGATATTTAAATATTTCCCTGTGCTTGAATTCACCGAAAGCTATATTTATCAGGTATAATTGATATTTGAAGAAATGTTGTCATTTCTATAAGTATTTTTTTTACATATTAGTGCAATAATATTGCAAATTTCAATTGACTTCTTGGAGCTAGTTTTATAGCTTTCAAAGCAATGGCGTTGAGAAGTTGAAGTTGTAATTGGGTGAATCTTCATTCCCTTTCAAACTTCCATTCTGAAAAATTAGTTTTCACTCCAATAAGGAATGACCCTTACCTTGGCTTTCATTCCTTCCATTATTGTTGTTGTGAATTAAATTTGTTTTGCTTCCCTTGTAAAGGACGTTCTAAAAGTTAGCGATAAATTGTCTCGTAACTATTGGAAACATTGCAACCACTAAATTTGAGAACCGATATCATGAAAGCTTTTTTTATTTCCTTAGCATCCATATTTTTTTGTGCAGTTAGATGGTTCGAATGAGAAGTTACTCACTATACCAACAGAAGGAGGTCTAGCAGATGAATTTGAGAAGGTAATACTGAAATCTTTTAGGAAATATGTCTGTGGTTAACCTTCTAGCAATCAACATCTATTGACCTATCTAGTTCCTTCTCTGGTACAGGGAAAATATCAGGGTTGGGCTGAAACATTTTCAAACATGTTAGAAAAGGATCCACTCAGGCCTCTTTTAAACGTGCTTGAACAACGGAGACTCCTTACTGAGAGGTAACTTTTTATCCTATATATATATTGCTTGCTATTTGCTTTCATGGAAAGGAAGGAGAGAAAGAAACTTATTTGGTTGATTTATTTTTGGCAATGGATTTAGGATCAGAGAAGAACTTAAGTCCGGAGAAGAGTACTGGGCATTGGAAAGAAAGCTATGTCGTGCACTAATATGCAAAATGGAGGTAGATATACCACTTTTGTCCTTGCTGCTTTGCTTAAATTAATTATATTTTTAATTTATTACTATTTCTAAACAATTAAGAATATAATTTTTCTACCTAGTACTATTTTAGAAAAAAAGATCACTATTTTTCTTTTTTTTCCCGTCTAAATAGAACAGAGAATAATGGTCTACCTAATGGTATACTATGAAGGGCAAACATTAATACCAAGGTACCATATGTTATTTATTTGGCTTCTAAACATGGTCTTTAACCAGAACCACAAACATTTTCACCTTTGGCTTTTAAATAATTATACCGTGTATTAAGTGAATAGATCTTTGATTTTGTCACTGTCTTGTTGAGAAAAGTTTCTCCTAATGCTTATAAACTTTGGATGATTTTGGCATAATCAATTTTTTTAATAGACATGGGTAACTTTTTAATAAATACCACTGAGTATTATGAGATGTGCTCATTTAATGAATGGCTATAAGAATTATATCCTTAAAAGGGAAAGGGTGTAAAAGAGTTGTAATACTAAGAGGAAATGCAGAAAATAAATGTTTACAGATTAAATGTTTTGTTTTTCCAGATCTCTCTTGAAGATGTTATGAGGGCAATTCATCTAAAGTCTTTTGACTATCGGGTGTTGAATCTTCTTCTGTATCAGTTAAGAGGACAAGAGGTAATATGATGTTAGCCTAGTTATATACATTTGTATCTTTTGCATGTTTGTGCATGTACATACCTATATTGGGTTTTTCCCATCATCTGGATTCTAACATTCGTATTTTGATGCATGTTCGAAGCACTACTTAAGGGTTTGGTAGAAGGGGAAGGAAAAAGAAATGTCTAGAGTGCTACATCATGCTTTCTGACTTAATACAATGAAAATTCCAGAATGCCATGATCTGCTCTGTTGGTTTTCATCAAATTTTGTGGAAATACATCAATGGTTCTTGTGTACAGTTTTTGATTTACGGTATTTGTAATATCATTAATAAAAATGGCTTCAGGTTTCAATCTTTTAACAAAATGAGAATTGAAATTCTATATCAGCTTAGAAATGTCATGCAGTCCCTATCAAAAAAAAAGAAATGTCATGCAGTCTGTATTAATACATTGCAGGACATTATCAAAATGTATCCATTAGATTTATGTTTTTTAACATGATATATCTTGCATTCTATATTTCATATCTGGTAACTTAGATTATATGAGGCTAAATGTATTTTCTTTGTTGTTGCTGTTGTAAAGGTTAATGACTTGCACATGGAATTCTTGTCAGTCTCTGAATTCCTTGTAGAAATATCAGATGATCTGTAAGTGTTTCTTTTTCCTTTCTGTTTTCTGATTTTACCTTAGATTTAAGTGGCGGTTTCAATTTGTTAGGTACTTTCCAATACACCGAATGATCAACTGATTTTGGTCTCGTGTTTTCCTTGTGCTGTTTTCTTTTATTGTTTTTGGGGTAACTGATGTTTTTCGTAATGATATGATGCAAGCATGGTGTCAATTATATACTCAACCCCCAGATGATGTAATGATGCTTCAGGTTCGACTATGAGGTACTTGCGTTCTCTGATGGTTTTTCTTTGTCCTGATTACATGATTCTGTTTATATATCCAATTGTTTTATAGTTTTTGTGGCTTCCCTTCAGGACGATGTATTCGAGAATAGCTTCAATATTTTGCGCATGTTTGTCAAAATATATGGACCTTCAACAGCGCCAGCTATGTTGGTGAGTATGGTATTGATACCGTTCCATGAAATAATTCAGTATGCTTCGAGGTTCGACATTTAAGAAGTGAACTTATCGCTTTGTTCTTATAGAATATAGTTGTGGCGTAGGGTCTTAAACATATGGATTGATCCCTTGAATTTTAATTTTTTTCCTTGTTTCTATCACCTAATTCTTTAAGTATACCTATTTGACTCATATCCGAACATGGTTCAAGTAACTTAGCTCCCATATTAACTCATATGCCAAATGGCTCTTTTCTTTTTCGTTGTCTTCATTCAGGCAAAATACATAACAGATGCTGAAGAGGTATGACAATTTATTGAAAACTTTGGATCCTCAGCTCTCCTCGAAATACCAGAGAAGATGCGAAGAAGCCACTAAAGAAGGTAACTAGCCGAGATTTAAAGTTGGATATCAAAGTTCACCATCTTTGTCTTGTTGACTTTATGTATTACATGTGGAATTTTCAGGTGGCAAGGACTCAGGACATCCTCTTGGTACATGGAGTATTCCACCTGTGATCGTAAATGAGGATATTTATCGAGCGAACCGCCTGAATACAGAATGAACAGTCAGAGGTTCACTGATCTAATTTAATCGCCTGAATCCAGTTTGGATGGTAGGTTTGGCACTAATGATTTGTTTGACTACCTGTTATGGTTGCCCTAAGAGTCTATGAATCTCATATTTCTATTTTTTTTTTCAACTAACATTATTTCTCACAAACAAGGTTTATCATGGATTGAAATTTAATGGAAAATCAAATTAGAAGAGAAAAATACGCAAATAAAAAGAGAGAGGAAGAATAAAGAGTTGTGAAGTTAGAAAATTTGGGGTTTGACCCTAATATTTAAAATAAAGGTTAAATTTAATAGTTGTTTAAAATTAAGATTAATTTGATAAAATATATAAATTTTAGAGACTGAGATTATCATTTTATCATGTCATATCATCATCTTCATCAACTCAACTGGCAAAATTAATGGAAAGTGACCAAAATAGAAAAAAATATAACATTAGTGTTCATTCTTGCATAAAAAATAGTTGGTGATCAAAATAGAAAAGAAGTAATAAATAATTTAATGACTAATAGTGTAGTTTATTCTTTTTCTAAAACTTGTTTCTTTTGTAGCCAAAATGAACACTGTTTGTCTGAAGTCTGATACTATTTTGGGACAGGGTTTTCTTATTGCATTGTATTGCTAAATACAGCTGGTTAAACGCGTCCCTTTTATTATTTTAATCATTATTCTATATTGACGACAACACGTTTTACATTAAAGTTACCATTGTATCCCTTCTTTTTTTACTAATTTAGGGCGATAAAAACAGAATAATTTGAATCTAAAATTTTATAAAAAAATAATATTCTTTTTAATTATTGATGTCAGGATTTATCTCTTTTATCAAAAAATACCCGAAAGCTTTTATGTCATTTTTACCCCCGTTAACTCTCTTATGTAATTTTATGTAATTTAGGGTATATAGATGCAGTAGAATTTTAAGTAAAATAATAATTATTTTAATCAAATGAATATTTTTCTTTTTCTTTTTCTTTTAAGCAATACCGGAAAGCTTTTATGTAATTTTCACCCCAGTTAACCTTTCTTATCCTTTCAAAATACGTTTTCTATCCGTTATAAAATAAATGGCAAAGCATCTATTTATCTTTAATCTCAATTCAATTTAATTTAACTTAAATTAAAGTAAATATATTTTTGTATTATTGACCGGATTGATATATAAATTAATTTTATTTTACTTATTCATTGATATATTACCTTAAAAATTAATTTTTAATTCAACACTCGTTTAACCAAAATAGATGTTTAAATCCACCCATCTTTTAACCAAACAAAATTCGCATTTTTTTCAGAGTAATGAGATTTTGAAGGACAGATACGTAATTATGAGGAATTGATTTACTAGTTCTGGATATATGTACTTTGTCCGTGTCCTATTTTAATCATAAGCATGGATGCAAACAAAATGCCAGCTATTTCCCCTTTAAACTTCAAAATTCGTACATTGTTTTTAATTATTGTAGTACTATATATCAAACATTTTTATATGTTAATAGTTAGTCGCGTAATGATGATTAGTTTCAAATTTTAACACCCTATTTATATTAATAACTATGTATTTATTTGTTTATAAAAGGAAAAAATGTATTCTAATACTTGGTGTTAATTGTAACTTCTTTTCAGCCAAAACTTTTTTATATCATTGTACCATAAGCTCAGTTATAAGAGGGATAAACGCATTTTTTATTAATGGTATAAATTTAAAATATTGTATTAACAATTTAAAAATATAAATTTTTAAAATATGAGATTATATAACAAATAAAAATATTTAAATTATTAAGAGATTTGAAATTTCTAAGAGTCCAATAACATTTCAATATCCCTCTATCTATCTCTGATAATTAATAAAGAATAAAATGTGTAAAATTATTGTTTGAAATATTATTTAATATAAGGACGGTATTAAATTAATTTATACAATTCTATTTATTTTGATTTAATTAACCATATTTAGAATTTATGATCTTAATATTTAGAATTTAACAACTCATTAAATGATTAGTAGTAAAAGGGATATTTTTCTTAAAGACTTGGATTTGAGAACTACGTTTTTAGTGTATATGAGTGTTATCAATAATTAAATTTTTTTGGAATAAATATTACTTATAATCCTCAAAAGACTATATTATTTAAAAAAATATTTAAAATTTATAATTAAAATGTAAAATTAAATTGAATTAAACTATATAATAGCAAATAATTTCCAATTTGTTTTAGGAATATATGAAAGTTTATTGCGTGTGATATTGTACTACACTTCCTTTTCCTTATCTCTTCCACTCCAAACTGTCGCCTATTTATACCTTGGAAACTCTCACTTCTTTTCACTGCTAAACCAAACCAAACCAAACCAATTTCACTGAGATTTTAATAACACAACACAGAGATTGACATTCGTTCATGTCCGTTTGCGAGAAAGATCCTCGCGAGTTTAGCTCAAGCACGGCCGCTGAGTCCCAGTCCCATCGTGTCTACAAGAAACGCACTGCCCAAGACAGTGAGGCCTCGTTTCGCGGTGTACGTAAGCGGAGGTGGGGGCGTTACGTCTCCGAGATACGTTTACCGGGCCAAAAGACTCGGATATGGCTGGGGTCGTTTGGGTCTGCGGAGATGGCGGCTCGGGCGTATGACTCTGCAGCTTTCTTCTTAAAAGGCGACTCTGCCATCCTCAACTTCCCGGACTTGGTGGGGTCGCTTCCCCGGCCTGAGTCTTGCTCGAGGAGGGATATACAATCGGCGGCGGCCAAAGCGGCTTTGTATGAGCGGAGGATTGATGAAGGCCCGAAATGCATGGGATGGTGGGATGAGACTGGGACGGCGGCGTTTGAGGAAGAGAAAGTAGGGCCTTTGCTAAGTCCTGTGAGTTGGATTCAATGGAGGGAGAACTGTGGTCTTTCATGGATCATGATCTTGACTTCTTAACTTCATGTTTCTAGTTTTGAGTTTTGAATTGTAAATATAAAACCTTTCATTGTTACTCATTATCTCACCTTCGCCCCTACTTTTTTTACGTAATAAAAAAATTGTAAATTACACAAATCATCATTAAGCTTTCTTATCTCTACAATTTTAATTACTAAAGTGTAAAAATTTCAATATACTCATTAAACTTTAAAGATTTTTTTTTTCACTCCTGTATTGTCTGGCTAAAATTGTAATACATGTAATTTTTTTATTAATTTATGAGTTGTCACGTAGATTTTTATTAATAGTTTATTAATTTAATTTATAATGCCTTCTCATTAAATTGGATATTCCACTAGTCACCCTCTATCGTCTTTCGTTTCCATCTGTTTCACAACATACTGGTCCAAATCAATCATTTTTTTCGGTCCTTTCATTATTGAGTCGTTTCATATAATAAAATTCTAATATTTATTCTCAATTTTAGACTTATATTCAAGAGTTAATTGATCTAAGATTGTATTAATTCATCCTATCTCATCATTCGATATCATACTCTGCATTCTCGATTACAGTAGTGTTGTAACACCCCAAAATAATTTAGTCAAAAATTGAATCATAGATATCACGTTAACTTATCAGAATTGTTTATAGTCGAATTATAGAAATCAATTTGAATTTTGATTTTTTAATCTTTAACATGTAATTGATCCACCTTAACGCCTAATGAAAATACGTGAACGCGTTTCTAGCATCTCATACATACTGAAACAACACAAAATCAAGCATCATAATATCAAATTCACATTTAAAACATATTAATCGAATTAAAAGTTTATTTATGTCATTTAATTTACTTTTTCAAAAACTCGACTAGTTAAATTTAACATTTTAAGTCATCTAAATATTCCAACAAATGTTCTTCATCTTACACATTATTTATGAATTCTCCAAATAGAAAAATGCACTTAAACTAAAATATGACGTATGAACTAAAATCCGTACACTTGAACATCACTTAAACACAAACATCGTTGATACGTGAAAACCATACATTTCATTGATTCTGTAAGATCCTAAATGAACATATTAACCTAAATGGTGATCTTAAAAGTGTCCAGATTCACATATGATCATACTTTGATGCAAAGAAAATGCATTCATCATGTAAAATTTTTAGCTACCAAAACTTAGAGTTTTTCGAGGCTTCAATCGGTAAACTTTTATTTCCCTTTTAAAATTCTCATTTCCAAAGCTTTCTTTATAGTTATTTCAATAGTCCTATACATCATTCAAAAACCATGAGTTATTGTAATATTATTTCAAACCTCCAATTAAACATATATCAAGTATAATATAAATACAAATTCGATAATCTCGTTTTCAAATCTTTATCTCAAATTATTTATTTCTTCATTTAATCCTTATATAATTTAGAATATTACTCTCAAAGTTAATAAATTTCGCTTCAAAGGTACATAAAATAACGTAAGTTCACTATCTCTTCTTACTAGCAATAAGAATGGTATACCAACGACCAGTTGTCTAGTGGGATGAGGCACTAGGTCCCTTAAGTAAAGCCAGAGGTTCGAATCTTGGTGTTTGTGAATGGAGCAAACTGGGTTGTGAGGGTCGCTCTCGCCTCTGCAGTATCCGATCTGAATTAGTCGGTTAATAGATCGGATACCAGTGATTAATTCAAAAAAAAGAATGGTATGAGAAGAAAACAAGAATTATCTTTCCTTTATTCGTTGTTAATAAGGGCAAATAGATCCGTTTATTTCATTCTTAAATTAAGAATGCAAGTCATTCTTAAATTAAGAATGCAAGTATAGGTGTTATTATGGTAGGAGTAATTAGAATTTCTATTTACCTTTTAAGGACCTCACGTTTATCAACTTCATAGTTATTATAATTTTTCAATAAAACTCTCAATTCTCGCCACAAGAATTTTTAACCGAATTAAGTTGATTTTACGATAATTCTGATATAAGATAATAAAATTTTAATAATCATATATTAAAATTTTATCGTACTTAATGTCACCGTTAATTGAATTTTGATATCGAAAATTTTAGGATATTACAAGTTGAATGGGTGTTGTGACTAGATCTCTCTTGGTGACTAAAAATAGCTAATAAATTGGGGTGTTACAAGCTGAATGGAGGTTGTAGTGTTTCTTACATTTATTTTTGGTTATTCTCCCTCTCTTTTAAGACTAAAGATGACTAATAAATTGTTGTAAGGTTTACCTTGTGTTTCTTTTAGCATTAATTAAATATGACTAATTGGTGTTAGATCGACCTTGTGTTTGTCACATTCATTTTAAGTCACGTCCCCTCTTCTTTTAGAACTAAAAATGACTAGTAAATTATTTTTAGACCAATTGTAAGAGATCCAAACAAGGTTAACAAATACTAACACGGAAATGAACATTTAATAAGAACAATTGGTATGCATATTGTTGCGGAAGACGGCTATCGGATAGAGTAAAATCGCAACTGATAATTTGAGAAAATAAAAATGAAGATAAAGAAGACACAAAATTTACGTGGAAAACCCCTAAATAATATAGAGTAAAAATCACGGGCAACGGTAGAAGAATTTCACTATGAGAAAATTGGAATTATAACCTCTCTTGATCTACCAAGGAGAAAACAATGATAATTCTCTCTTAATAAAAAAGAAAAAACAACTCTTAAGAAACTCTCTAAATTCTCTCTAGTATTGGAAGAAAGCTAGAATGCTTTGGGATGATTTTGAAGCTTAATGAGCTAGGGTATTTATGGTTGAAGCTTAAGGACTAATCTTGTAAATATCCTAAAGTATAATGACTAAAATGTGTAATTTTACCATGTCACTTTTCAACCATTATTAGTGCCAACTATGAACCATTATTGTTGCCAACTTACAATGCATTATGAACCATTATTATGCATTATGCAACTATTATTAGTTGCATGACAACTAATAATCTCCCACTTGAAGATTTGATTAGAACAATCATATCTTCACACCATTCTTTCTACCTTGTACCATCATGTTGCTTACGTCTCTGATAGGCCACAAGAGGATTGACAACAAGTAAATTTATCAGCATTGATCACTTTCGTCATGAAATCTACTATGTTGTTTTTGGTATGGATCTTTTGCATATCTATCGTCCATTCTTCTACCTTTTCACGAATGAAATGGTATTGAACTCGTATGTGCTTTGTCCTTGAATGAAATGTTGATTCCTTGCTAAATGTAAGGCGCTTTGACTGTCACAAAACAAATAGACATACTCTTGATTGTGCCCAAGCTCCTCCAATAGCATTTTCAACCAGATTGCTTCTTTACTGCTTGTGTAGCTGCCACATATTCTGCCTCTGTTGTGGATGTAGCCACAACTGACTGCAATTTTGAAACCCATCTTACAACTCCACCAGCAAATTTGAACACATATCATGTAGTATATTTGCTTTTATCCAAATCCCCTGCAAAGTCAGAATCGACATACCCATTGATAAGTAAATTTGATCCTCCGTAATATAATGCAACATTTGAGGTCCCTTTGATGTATCTCAGGATCCTATTTACTGTATTCCAATGGTCTTTGCCTGGATTCACCATGTACCGACTAACCACTCCCACTGCTTGTGCAATGTTTGGTCTTGTGCATATCATAGCGAACATTAAACTTCCCACTGCTGATGCATACGGTACTCGAGACATCTCCATCCTCTCTTCTTCACTGCTAGGACTCATACTGGAGGATAATTTGAAGTTAATAGGAAGAGGGGTAGAAATTGGCTTACAATCTTGCATGTTGAATCTTGACAAGATCTTCTTTAAGTAATTCTTTTGTGAAAGCCAAATCTTCCTATTACTTCTCTCTCGGTGAATTTGCATCCCTAGAATCTTGTTTGCTGATCCCAAGTCCTTCATTTCAAATTCCCTAGCTAGTTGTGCCTTCAATTCTTCAATATGATCTTTGTTGGGTCCTACAACCAACATGTCATCCACATACAACAACAATATAACAAAATCGTTATCACCAGACCTCTTAAAATAAGCACAAGGGTCTGCATTAAGTCTGTTGTATCCAAGGCACATAATGAATGAATCAAATCTCTTATACCAACACTCAGCGCCTACTTTAGACCGTACAGAGATTTGTTCAACCTACAAACCAAGTTCTTCTTTTCTTTTTCTTCAAAACATTCAAGCTGGAACATGTAAATCTCTTCTTCATGATTTCCATGAAGAAAAGTTATTTTAACATCTAGCTGCTCTAGATGTAAGTTCAATGTAGCACACATTGCCAAAACTACTTGAATTGTTTTAGTCGAACCATAGGAGAAAAGATTTCATTAAAATCAATACCTTCTTTTTGAGCATATCCTTTGACCACCAGTCTTGCACGATACCTCTAAACTTGATCGTCACCATTTTCACTTGATTTTGAAGACCCATTTGTTACCAATTGGCTTCCTTCCTTGTGGTAGTGGCACAATGTCCCATGTATTATTTTTATGAAGGGCTTCAATTCCTTCTTGCATCGCCATCATCCATAGTGAAGCATCTGAGTTGTTTATTGCCTCCTGGTATGTTGCTGGCTCACCGTCCTCTGTTAAAAGGTATTATGTAATATTTCCTTCTATAACATAATCTGAGTGCCAATTGGGACATCTTCTCACATGATCTGATTGACGAGTTGTTGGAGCTTCAGAACTCTCTGGTTCTTGTTCATCATGTGCTGGTTCTGCTTCAGAAGAATCTCCTTGTTCAATATCCTTTTCCACATGTATCTGTGTAGTCTCTGACTTTTCAGCTCTACCATCTTCTTCTTTTCTTTGTAGTTTATCTTCTACAAAGATAACATCTCTGTGATGATCACTTTGCGGGCAGTGGGGTCCCACAAGCGATACCCCTTTACACCATCAGCATACCCCAAGAATTTACATTTCCTGGATTTTGGATCTATCTTTGAGATTTCTTGGGAGTTGTACATCACGTACACAATACTTCCAAATACATGGAGGTTTGAATAATCAGCTAATTTACCAGTCCACATCTTCATTGGTGTCTTCAGCTCTATTGCAGTTGATGGAGCTCGATTCACCAAATAATAGGCGGTATTGACTGCTTCTGCCCAGAATGATTTTTCTAGGCCTGCATCCCTCAATATTGCTCTTTTCTTTCTAACAAGGTTCTGTTCATCCGCTCTGCCACTCTATTTTGTTGAGGAGTGTTCGCCACTGTGAACTGTCTTTGGATGCCTTCTTTCCTGCAAAAGTCATCAAATTCTTCACTTGTGTATTCTCCTCCATTATCTGTTATGACACGCTTGATCTTATTTCCAGAATCAAGTTTCACTCGCGCCTTGAAGTTTTTGAAAGTTGAAAATACGTCTGACTTCTTCTTAATAGGGTACACCCAACATCTCCTAGAGTAGTCATCAATAAATGAGACAAAGTATTTTGCTCCGCCTAGAGATGTAACTGGTGCTTGCCATACGTCAGAGTGAACCAATTCTAGAACACTTTTGCCTCTAGAATTTGATTTGTTGAATTTCAATCGGTGCTGCTTACTTGTTATGCAATGTTCACGCAAATGAAGTGTTACATTTGTTAAGCCTGGAAGTAGTTTTTGCTCCACAAGGACTTTCATTCCTTGTTCTGACATGTGTCCAAGTTTCTGATGCCATAGCATTGCAGAATCTGAACTACATGAGGCACAGAGGCTTCTGCTTCTAGCAAAGTCTCTTCCTTCATCATATACAAGTTTGATGCTATATTTTCACCTTTCAACACCACAAGCGCTCCACGGAACACCTTCATGATTCTTTTCTGTGTTTTAATCTTGCTTGCATTATTATCCAACAATCCGTAGGATAATAAATTTTTCTCCAGGCCTTTCATGTGCCGCACATCTCGAACAATTTTGATTGTTCCATCATACATCTTCAATTTGATGGTTCACACACCAACGATCTCTAAGGCATGATCATTGCAACTATACACAAATCCTCCTGAGACAGGTTCATAATGATGGAACCATTCTCTTCTTGAGGTCATATGATATGTTGCTCCCGAATCAATGAGTCATATATCTGCATATCTCTTTCTACCTTTCACGGTGGTTGACGCTTCACAACATAGAGCATCTCTATCATCTGAAGTGTTTGCGGTATTGCCTTGTGGATTGGAGTTTTTATTTAGACTCCAACAATCCTTCTTCAAGTGACCCTTCTTTCCACAGTTATAGCACTTTAAATTCTTCTTGCTCATCGACTTCGATCTACCATGTTTGTGACTGCTGCTTTGGCAACGTTCTGTTGATCTCACTCTCATCATTGTCAACGCTTCTGCTTGTTACATATTTACTTGTCTGTCTTCCTTGTTCTTGCATCGATTTTCTTCTTGTAGAACAGTAGATACAACGTCATCGAAGACTAGACTAGTGACATTACTATTTGTCAAGTTGATGATGAGTTGATCATACGAATCAGGTAGACTTTGAAGTATAAGTTCAACACGTTCTTGTTCTCCTATTGTACATCTTAACGATGTAAGCTGAGAAAATAACGTGTTCAGTGTGTTTAAGTGCTCCGTCACTGAAGTAGATTCTGACATACGGAGAGTGTATAATTTTCTCTTAAGGAAAATTTTATTGTGCAACGATGTGGCCTCGTACAATTTGGTGAGATGATCACATATCTCCTTAGCTGTATTCTTCTCCTCGATGCTTGACAATACTTCATCTGCTAATGCTAGATGAAAGTTTTCCATAGCATTCTCTTCCATCTCGATCCATTTGTTGTCATTTGTTCTTGCACCGATTTTCTTGCACCGATTTACTTGTCTGTCTTCCTTATTATTGCACCGATTTTCTTCTTGTAGAACAGCAGATACAACGCCATCAAAGACTAGACTAGTGACATTACTGTTTGTCAAGTTGATGATGAGTTGATCATACGAATCAGGTAGACTTTGAAGTAGAAGTTCAACACGTTCTTGTTCTCCTATTGTACATCTTAACGATGTAAGCTGAGAAAATAACGTGTTCAGTGTGTTTAAGTATTCCGTCACTGCAGTAGATTCTGACATACGGAGAGTGTATAATTTTCTCTTAAGGAAAATTTTATTGTGCAACGATGTGGCCTCATACAATTTGGTGAGATGATCCCATATCTCCTTAGTTGTATTCTTCTCCTCGAGGCTTGATAATACTCCATCGGCCTTTCACTGATAGCTGATAGACAACCGTCTTTCCTCAGGATGGCCTTCATCTTCAATTTCCACAATGAGAAATTTCTCCCATTGAATTTTTCAATATCAAATTTCGTTGCCGTAACTTCTAATATAGATAGCTCCCACTATTTCACTATCGTGAATAGTTCTCTGGAACCTTCAAAGAATGAGTAATAACTTCTTACTTTCTTATGTTGAAGGATCCACCTTTTGGTGGCAACCACAAAGACAATAAGCAGATATCACACACTTAATCTAGCTTGAATACCAATTGTTGCAGAAGACGGCTATCGGATAGAGCAAAATCGCAACTGATAATTTAAAAAAATAAAAATAAAGATAAAGAAGACACAAAATTTACGTGGAAAACCCCTAAATAATATAGGGTAAAAATCACAGGCAACGGTAGAAGAATTTCACTATGAGAAAATCAAAATTACAACATCTCTCGATCTACCAAAGAGAAAACAATGATAATTCTCTCTTGATAAAAAAGAAAAAACAACTCTCAAGAAACTCTCTCTAGTATTGGAAGAAAACTAGAATGATTTTGAAGCTAAATGAGCTAGGGTATTTATGGTTGAAGCTTAAGGACTAATCTTGTAAACTTTGTTTTGAAAATCGGACCGGACCAACCGGTTCAACTGGGAACCGTTGCTTAATCCGGTTCAATCTAAACCGGTTGAATAGCTATTAGTGAACTGGCCAGAACCTGAACCATTCGAACCGGACCGGCTGAAAACTGGAAAAAAACCAGGATTTTTTTTTTTAAAAAAAATTAAACCAAACAACGTCGTTTGTTAAACGAGCCAAGTTGAACTCGAGTATTGCTGAGCTCGACTCAACTTGAAAACTTTAAAAGTAAGCTCAACTCAACTCAAACTCACAAGCTAAAAATTATCAAGTTCAACTTAAACACGAAATATAATATTGAAACTTGAACTCAAAAAAGCTTGAACTCAAAAAAAATTAGAAGCTCGATTGAAGCCTAAAATTCGAGCTTGATTGAAGTGAAAGAATAGTTCACTCAATGTTCACCAAAAGGCTCTATGATTTTGAATGCAAATTACCTCTATTATTTATAGAAGTTAGTTGTGATGCGCTTCTATGTTTCTTAGCAATGTGAGATTGTTTTGTTCTCATATTTTTACTCTTTAGACTTTTGGGATGCTCTTCTATGTTTCTTAGCCATGTGGGATTGTTTTTAAAAAAAATTAAACCAAACAATATCATTTTGTTATGATTTTTTTAACCTCAAATTTATTTTTTAATTATAGTTATATAATTATATTTATTATTTAATATGTTTTACCTTAAATATTATGTTGTAGTTAATTTGAATCATTTTGTTTCACTTGATTTTATTGTTTTTAACTTATATATGTTATGACTTGCTTTGAATATGACTTGTGATATAAAAAATTATTTTTTATTAAATAATTTTGGTATTTTTATTTAACTTTTTAAATAATTATGACGTCGTTCGATTCTTCCGACCGGTCGGACCGGTTCGACCGGTTGAACCAGTGAACCGGTAGCATGACTGGTTCGTTAATCGGTCCGGTTCTGAAAACCATGCTTGTAAATATCCTAAAGTACAATGACTAAAATGTGTAATTTTGCCATGTCACTTTTCAACCATTATTAGTGCCAACTATTAACTATTATTGTTGCCAACTTACAATGCATCATGAACCATTATTATGCATTATGCAACATGAACCATTATTATGCATTATGCAACTATTATTAGTTGCATGACAACTAATACATCTAATATTTGATTTACTCGATAGTCCATTTATATTGCACCTCAGCCTCAACCTTTGGTATGCATCTGATATGTGATTTAGACTAGGTCAAAAGAATAACTATGGATAAAATCTGAGTTTTCGAATGAATTTACACAAACATTTTTTGATATTAGAAGAGAAGTTCATTTATTGCGATTGATATTGATGAAAAAAAATGGAGATCTACAACTATGCATTGACAAGTCTTTAAATAAGAACAATTTTGTCAAAATGTAATTTTGTTTGGGGTTGAATGGTTCCCTTTGTGATAAATACTTCTTAAATATGTTTGATATCATAAAATAAACTTACTGTCATTAAATATAGTCTATAAAATTACATATGCCGATTTAGAAATATTAACTAAAGTTTAGTAGGGAATGCACAAACGTAAATCCCCGCTGTCACGAAGTATGACGTAAGCTCTCCCTTGGGGACCTCTCAAGTGCAATAGAGGTCACTGTCTTAGGCCATGAGTCTTCTAATCGTCTATTGACCTCGTCCAAATAAATATGTTCAAACTCTGTGATATACTCTCATCTTATTCAACATCGTTAAATTTTGTTTGTGATGCGTTAAAATTAATTGAACAATCCAAAATGGTTCAAGGACATTAATTTTCTTTTCTTTTTTACTTTCATCTACCTTTAAGAGTTTTTGTGATTCGACCCACTGAAAGTTGAGCACTACCATGCTTATGGAGCCAACCATAATAACGCTTGCAGGCGACCAAGCTCTCAATAGACATCGAGCTAGCCATAAAAGAACCAAAGGCCATTTCGGTCCCGATAGAAGAAAAAGCACCACCAATCTTGATATTCCAGAAGAAATAGTGTTCATATTGGGTACAAGCCATGGTGAGTCGAAGCTACGAACAAACACTAACTACCATTGGATTTCATTTTTAACTGAACCTTCTTCTGCTAAAAGATTCAAGAGTGTACATATCGCAGCACAAAAAGAAATGAGTAAATTACACAAATAGTTACTAATGTTTGAGTAAGTTTTAATTTTTTTAACTGAAGTTTTAGAAGTAACAAATTAATCACTAACGTTATCAATTTGTAACAAAATGATCACTCATCGTTAAATGAGGTTACTGACAGAATGATGATATGACACGTTAACTCTGTTGACGTGGTACTGTCCGGCCATGTGAAACAACAATTTGACTGGCATTTGATTCTCCTCTCCCCGTTCTCCCCACCAAAGAATTTAATCCGTTTTTAATTTCCACTATGACTCTACCACCGCAACTCTCCTGTCTCCGCTGTCCCCATCGATAACTTGCAGCAGCGATATTAAAACCCATTTTAAAAACCCATCAATAGTTATCCAACAAATCTCTAACAATGTTAAACCCCATTGTAGGGTTGGGTAAGTGGAGAGAAGAGAAACCAACCTTAAGATCAAGGCATTGTTCCCAATGGTAATGAAGAGAGATATGGGAGTTGAGCTCCAAGTTAGTGTCAGGACCAATGATTGGGAGATTGCTGTTGTTGTTAAGCGTTTGTACATGCCTCTTGCCATTGTATAAAGTCCTTGTTTGGGTTCTATCAACAGATGACCAGCCTCAAAAGTTTATCAATAGGAGACTGCAAGGAGCTTGATTTTGACGACATGCAGTGGGAACCCGTTCAGAATCTCTCACTTGGAGATTGATGAAATTCTACAGTTGGTGTCTCTCCCTTTTACCTTCAACATCTTGTTCAATTGAAATCGTTTGTTAATAGAAATTGCAGTGGATTGAGGCAGTATTTCCTGTGTTCCAACATCTTACTGTCATTGTTTCATAGTTATAATGCTCTTTTGCTGTCATTGCCCTTTGGTATCTTGATTATAAGGATTATTTTTATTTGTTGTTTGGGAAGTTTTGAAAATATGTTTGATCATATAGAATTTCGGTTGTGTTTTGCGATATTAATCTTCTGTCCAAAATAACTTGGAATGCAATTTTTTCGGGGGAGGGGGGGGGGAAGAACCGAGTTGCGGAAGTTAAATCTATTTGGCGATGTTTTTTGGGTCCGCAATGATTAACGCTCCAGTATAAGGAAAGTCAAAAACCAGTCTTACGTGGCAGCACAGTTGTTTAGTCAGCCCGTTAACAGATCAGGTTAATTTTTCGTCACCTACTTTAACGACAGTTAAAATTTACTTGGTGATCATTTATATAGTTTACTCAAAAGAAAATGTATACTTTCTTTATATTATTGATAAGACGATTAAAAAAATAAGTACGCGATTTTCTTAATAATTACATATTTTTATTATTTTATTGATTATTTATAATTAAATTTAATTTAAGACTCTTAATTATATAATTCGAATATTTTAAGATCATATTTATCACTTATTTTACTTTGGGATCTATTTTATTACTATCCTAATTTATCTACTCTATTTTATTACTTATTTAATTAATCGCCAAAAATAATTAAATTCTTCTGATAAAAAAGTGAGAATAATGGTATAGATGTAAGCTTTACTTTAGGTTACACAATAAAAAAAATCAGAAAATGAATATCAAATCGAGTAAGCTTTGGTTTGTTTCTATTGAAACGATGTCGTAATTTTCATCTTACATAGAATCAGATAATTTACTTGCAACTTTTTAATCTATGGATTTGTATACTTTTTTAACTATTTTTCTTGAATAGAAAATTTGTAGGATGTGAAAAATTGTTTTAGCATGTAATTTATTAGTACGAATCAAATGATTTCAATGGTTTAGAGATTTATTATTATTTTTTGACGTTTCAGGTTCGAACATGGCATATGTTAAAATATAAAAATTCATAGTACGAATCAAATGATTTCAAGATATAATTTTTTATGTTTTTTTTTTGTTTGGTTGTTTATCTTCTTTAACTTGATGACTTTAATCAAATTATTAAGTATTTAAATTTTAATTTCATTTCAGTTAGAAATAGTTTTTTTAAATACTATTTTTTTTGGTAAATAAGAGAAAAACACCTATAACTAGGTTAATTCATGGAGCAGTTCTAATATTCCCTCTGGTGGAGTTTGTAGACGATGAACTTCTAAGTCTGTCAAACTTGCTTGCTTGGATAGACAGTCGGCTACACGATTGCCGTTTCTCATTATGTGTTTGTACTGGACATTCCAATCCTGCTCTTCTAGTTCTTGATGTGGGACAAAATGGCAAGCTTTCCTTACTGATCTGGCTTTGCTTCCAGTAGACGTATGGCATCCATGTTATCCATTTCGACCTCTATATTTGTTAGACCCAGGTCTCATGCAACTCTCATGCCCACGTATGCTTCCCAGAGCTCTGCTTCCAGTATCAAACATAAACCAATATATTTGGAGAATCCCATTACCCATTGGGGGTGTCCAATTAGCTTGACACAGAGGCAATATATTAAGGACTCGTGTAGGGTTTCCCGTCAAGGTAAAATATTTTTCATTTCAATTTATATTTATAATTCTATTTTAAATATCTATATTTATTATGTGGGTTCATGAATTTTCATCTAAAATAATAAAAAAAATAAGCACAATTATAGATAACATTGTTATCGATTTATTTTCTTTTTTAGATGAACATGTGAATTTTAAGGATTTATAATTTTTTATTAATATGATATTTTGGTATATAATTTACATTAATAAAAGTTTTAAAATATTTTAACTAATATACATATTCCTTCAAATGACCCCTTCAACAAATAGTGTTGAGTTCCGCTACTGATGCACCATCGAAATCTAAATAATTGTGAATTTTCTGGACCAGAATATAGATTTGGATGAACAATTAATTTCGTTAAATACCGTTTAGTCTAAGGGTCAAAATGTAATGAAAGAAAACATATAAGGGTCAAAAGGAAAAAATAAGTGGAAAGTGGGAAAGATATAATAATACCTTGAGGGGCAAACTCAATCAATAAAGGAACAAAAACAAACCCTCGTTTCATTTCTTTTTCCAATTCCCCGAAACGAAAAAAGAAAAACAAAGAATTTTAATTTATTTTTTCGCTTCTTTCAACAAACTCTAACACGAAGTCAAATCGAACGGAGTGGAGAGATAGAATCGCTGAGTTGAATCGGTTGGAAGAAGATCTGAGTTAGTATCGTGGACAAAATCTTATTAAATGGGCGCTGCGGGTTCAAAACTCGAGAAAGCTTTGGGCGATCAGTTCCCCGAAGGCGAACGATATTTTGGCCTTGAAAACTTTGGCAATACTTGTTATTGTAACAGCGTTTTGCAGGTTCTTTCTTCTTCTTTTTTCTCATTTTTTTCTTTAACAATTCAATTTTGACATTAACTCGATTTGTCTTGTTTGTCAAAAAAAATATTGAATGTCATTGTCTCTGTTAATTTCAATAATTTGAATTTGGTTGATCTGGAAGTTTCAACTTTGAGCATTTCTAACAAAATATTTATAGTTTGTGCACATTTATTGAAGTACATGTTTCTGACTATTTTCTTTGCAAGTATTCAAGGTTTATAGTTTTTGATTTATCATGATCCAGTCTTTATTGATTTTGATAATGTGTTCTGACCCACTGATTGCAGTAGGAAGCAAAGTTAATCTGGTAAAAAACCTCAAGCGAATTGTCTTTTTAACGTTAAGCTGTGAATTTTTCTTGTAATTGAATACCCTTTTTCATTCAGATGGTGCGGTTGCCCCAATTTAGACTATAATTAGAATGCTTATATTTTAAATATGCTGACTGAGTATTGTGGACTGGATATTGGCCATGTTAGTTAACTAAGATTAGAAAGGGAAAGCGGTCTGGGGTTGGATGTTGTTGGTAATTAATTAAATGATTGTATTTAACATTAAGGTTGTCTAAATTTCATTCTTCACACTTATATTTAATATTTTTAGTATTGCTTTTGTTCTCCCTTCATTTAAATTGTCTGATCGTTGTAAAGTTTAATTTTGTGCTATATTTGAAATTTATTTGGTTAGATTGGTTCATGTCGGATGTTTTTGTTTGAACTTGTTGGCCAACAGTCCACTCTTGGCTTTCACTAATATATGATTTTATTTTCTCTCCCTTTTTTTCAGGCACTTTACTTTTGTGTCCCATTTCGTGAACAGCTGCTAGATTATTATTCAAGGAATAAAAATGGCGCTGATGTTGAAGATAATCTGCTGACATGCTTGGCAGATCTGTTTACACAGGTAATAACTGCTAGAAGTGTAGTGCTGTTGAGTTGTATGCCTCCATCCTTGATGCAAAATCATTTTTTCTTTAGAGTTAGCTTGCTTCTTCCGCTTAGTTGTAGTTCACGCTTCACACCAAATATCAGCATCATCTTTTAACCCCAAACAAGAAGATAAGTCTCAATGGATATTTCTACTCTTGACCTTGATTTCCAGGGATGATCCACTGATTTGATAAATTTAATAATTTCTTGTTTTATTATTGGCATGATAGGAGCCCTTGCGCATTTACTTAGAACTATGAAAGCCCAAGAAATCATCTTCATGAATGTGATGAAGATGGTTCTCAAAGTAACTTTTAACAAGATGAGATTAGATTCAGGAATGTAGATTATTATTGTATTTAAGTAGCTCATACTACAAATGTTTGGCATATATGCATGAGGACCTTGCATAATAAAATGAGTGATGTGATGTGTGCATGTTTTGGTTTTTTTAAAACATTAGATAAATTGTTGTCAGTAAATTCTATCAGATTTTTTGCATCGTGTATAATTTGCTTTCTCATGACTGCTCTGTAAGAGTTCCTTTCTCATAACTGCCTCTCTTCTTCTGTTTCTTTCCCTTCCCTTTTAAAGTGTTTGGTTTTATACTTCAATAACTGCTAACTTTTTCCTTTTAGGAAATTGCTTAGATCCCAGCAAAATATTTTGTTCAAGTTTTTTCTTTTGGGCTCAGAGTAAAAATGGAAAGTGTAACTGGGAAGATGATGCTTTTTCTGTTTTAGCAAATGTTATGTAACCCCCTAGACCCGACCTATGCGTTTCGACTAAGTCTAGTGGATCACATTATGATTCTTTAAGACATTTTTCCGAAACCGTTATTCAAACAATGTAAAATCACATTATAAATGACATGAAATTATAATAAATCATACTATCAAAACCTAACTTGTAAATATAATACCAATAAGTAATAAATTAATTTAAAACATATCTTAAAAATCAAATCACGATAAACCGAATAGTAATAGTAAAAATGTCATCATATTAAAATCCCATACTTTAAAATAAGGTCCATGTCAACAAAATAAAGTCAACTTGCAAGGTAAAAACATTACAATCAGATATACTTCAAGAGATATGTTGATCCTCCAAGTGCTCAATCCAGGGTATCTAACCAACAGTATCTGAAAGGGGAAAAACATTTTCGAAAAGTGAGCTAGGCTCAGTGTGTCCCAATATTACCATAAAATCACTATAGGTACACAAAACATATCGTAGTCCAAAAAGTCTCATAAAATACTGCAGTAAATCTCTTTAAAAAGCGTTACCCTAAGGGAACATCTTAGGGCCTGAGAGCCTACCCAAGATAGATTTCGGGGCCGTAGGGCCTACCTAAGAACACATCTTAGGGCCGCAGGGCCTACCCGAGAATGATCTCAGGGCCGCAGAGCCTACCTAAGAGTCACATTAGGTCCGTAAAATTTTCCAGCTTGATCAGAGCTGTACTTTATAAATTCGTATTCCAAAAATTCAATTGCACCGTGTTATAAATTCCATAAATCCATAAACATGGTAATCATATACCATTTCAAAACAAATATCAGATAAAAGTCATAATCTATAAATAATCACATTAAATCGGTGCATCAACAATACGGTAACCAAAGAATTCAGTGTACCACATATTAAAACAAATAAAACAATTCAGTAATAAATAGGGAACACACCTCGATAATAGGTTCAAATCGTAGATCTACTGATTGCTGGTTTCACCACGCTCTGCTACAGTTTTCGAACCTAATTTATAGTAACACTATATTACTTATGGGTAACATAAATAAATCTCTAAAATCATAAAATTTACGGGTCTTACGGGTGAATACTGGCATACGTGGTTTAACTGATCTAGAAGAGATGGGTCGAGTTGTTGAACGATCCGGTGAGTCTCGTGCACCTTCAAATAACAATAATTTATCAGCCCCAAATCTTACTTAATTGTTCAAAGCTAAAATTCTTAAGTATCTAAGCATTTTCCGAGTTTGACTATCAATTTGGGGTATTTTGAGTCTGAATTTGGCCAAACGGATTGCGGAATCGGAATCAGGACGTCGAAAAATATAAAGTATGACTTTTCGAAAATCCAAATTCTTGGTCAAAGTCAAAGTCAACCACTTTGACCGTCGATTTGGAGACCTTCGGGTTTGAATTTGGTGAAACGGACTGTGGAAATGGATTTGGCACGTCGAAAACTATCAAGATAGGTATACTCGGAAAAGATTTACGGTCGTTTAAGGGTCGGTCAAAGCCATCTTAAGTTTTAGTCAAAGAAAGTCAACGGTCACGGTCAACGGTCACGGTCAACGGTCGGGTCGGGTCAACGGTCGGGTCGGGTCAACAGTCGGGTCGGGTCAAACCGGTTCGAACCGGTCAAACCGGTTCAAAACTGGTCAAACCGGTTTTCCAGCAGCTCACTCTCCCTGCGGCGGCGCGTGAACAGTGCCACGGTGTCGGAAAATTCCTGGAAAAATTTCTAAAAATTATTTTGAGCGATTTCGAGATACTTACAACGATCGGTTCAAATTTTTGAACGGCGGAGAGCTCGTATTTCAACTCGGCCGAATCTTTGACTGCTCCACCTCCTCACGCGCCGCCGTCGACGGCGAACAAGGTTGACACCGGCGGACTCGCAACGACACAAGGAACACGATGATGCAGGAGGTGTCGTAAACGGAACAACGATCGACGGTGAATTTAAGTTTTTCCCGGCGATAGAGCTAAAAAAAAACGACAATGCTTTGACTGAAAATTCCCGACGTTTGGCAGCGTTTCACTTCAATTAATTTGAAGGGTTTGTTCCTCGCTTGATGATGAACACAACGGTGGTTTCAATTTTACGATTGGACGTCGAACGGCGTCGGAATCGGGCTTGGAAGTAAGGGTACGGGAGGAGAAAAACTTAAGCAATTTAACATTTGTGGTTTCTGATTTGAAACCAGAAACACGCTTAAATCCCCAAAGCTGCCGACACTTTTAGGATAAATTTAGGGCTTGGTCCCTGAATTTTCTTTAACTCTAAAACAAGCTCCAAGTTTTAAAATATTTCAATTTAGTCCCAAAAAATTTACCAATTTTCACAATTAACCTCCAATTTCAATTTAATATTATTCTAAATTTTTCCGGGTTGTTACAATTCTCCCCCTCTACAAGAAATTTCGTCCTCGAAATTTACCTTATGAAAAAAAATGAGGAAATTGAGTCTCCATTGACTCCAATGTCTCCCAAGTAGCTTCTGAGGGGCTACGATTACTCCACTGAACTTTGACCATTGGAATACGCCTATTCCGAAGAACTCGCTCATCTCTTTCTAAGATCTGAATGGGCTCCTCTTCATATGACAAATCAGGTCTCAGCTCTACTTCTTCAACCTGAATAATGTGACTTGGATCTGGATAGTATCTCCTCAACATTGATACAAAAGACATCATGAATACGACTTAGCTCAGAAGGCAACTCAAGCTGATATGCAACAGTCCTACCCTCTTCAAGATACGAAATGGTCCAATAAATCTTGGACTCAATTTACCCTTACGCCCAAATCTCAATACTTTCTTCCAGGGTGAAACTTTCAAAAAGACATGATCTCCAACCTCAAATTGTATATCTTTCCTTCGCTGATCTGCATAAGACTTCTGCCTATCAAATGCCTCTTTCAAACGGTCACGTATCAATCTGACTGTGTCCTCCGTCTCTCGCACTAACTCAGGTCCCAACGTTTTCCTATCACGCAACTCAGTCCAACAGATCGGAGTGCGACATTTACGCCTATAGAGTGCTTCATAAGGTGCCATACGAATGCTGGTCTGATAACTGTTGTTGTAAGCAAATTCAGCCAAAGGCAAAAAGTTCTCCCAGCTACCATGAAAATCAATTACGCAACCCCGCAGCATATCCTCCAGAATCTGAATCACTCTCTCAGATTGACCATCAGTTTGTGGATGAAAGGATGTGCTATAATCCAATCTTGTTCCCAAAGCCGTATGTAGCGCCTTCCAAATTCTCGAAGTAAATCTCGGATCTCGATCAAAATAATAGACAATGGAACACAATGCAATCGGACAATCTCTGAAATATACAATCTCGCCAGCTTGTCCAAAGTATAATTTACCCGCACATGAATGAAGTGAGCTGACTTTGTAAGTCTGTCAACAATTACCCAAACTGAATCTTTTTTCGAAGGAGTCATAGGTAAACCGGTAACAAAATCTATAGTAATACGCTCCCATTTCCATTCAGGAATCTTGATAGGCTGTAACAAACCTGATGGATGTTGATGTTCTGCCTTAACTTGCTGACAAGTCAAACACCTAGCCACAAAATTAGATATGTCTTTCTTCATCCCAATCCAATAATACCTCTCTCTCAAATTCCGGTACATCTTATCTCCTCCGGGGTGCATAGCATATGGACTACTATGAGCCTCAGTAAGGATAGTCTGCCTCAATTCAGCGTCATCGGCACATAATGTCTACCTTTAAAGCATAAAACTTCATCCTGATCAATTGCGTAATCTGTGTTTGTCCCCTGCTCTACTTGCTCAAAGATGGAAAGCAAGGAGCTATCAAGGGGCTGCTTAGCTTTGATCTCATCAACCAAGGTCGGCTTAACTTGCAATTCTGCTAACAAAGTGCCATCGTCATATAAATTCATCTTGGCCATTAAAGACCTCAACTCCGATACCGTCTTTCGACTCAAAGCATCTGCTACAATGTTAGCTTTACCAGGGTGGTAATCAATCACGCAATCATAATCCTTTAGAAGCTCTAACCAGCGACGCTGTCTCAAATTAAGTTCCTTCTAGGTCAGAAGATACTTTAAGCTCTTATGATCTGTGAAAATGTAACACTTCTCTCCATAAAGATAGTGTCTCCAAATCTTCAAGGCAAAAATTACTGCTGCCAACTCTAAATCGTGAGTAGGATAATTACTCTCATGCGGCCGCAGCTGACGGGATGC